TGGAGATGGCACCGCAGCTGGGTACCCCCCCGTGCTCCCCTCCATCCCGCCCGCCAGCGGTGGTGGTGGTGGAGAAGGACTTCCAGTTCATCCTCTGCGAGCGTTGCCGGCAGGAATCGCCCAACCTCAAGCTCCTCACCTGCCTCCACACCTTGTGCCTCAATTGCTTGAGCGAGAACAAGCCCATCGGGCAGTGCCCCGTGTGCCGGACAGCCATGCCGCAGGCCAGCGGCATCCCCGACATGGACAACCTGCTCTTCACCAACCTGCAGGCCAGGCTCAGCGTCTACAAGAAGATCAGCAACAGCGGTGGCCCGAGCTGCAGCCGGTGCCAGGGCGAAACGGCGGCAGTGTGGTGCTCCGAGTGCGAGGACTTCCTCTGCACCAAGTGCTTCGAGGACCACCAGTGGTTCTTCAAGAAGCGGAACCACGAGGCCAAGAGGGTGGAGGAGCTTCGTGCCGAGTCGGCCCATCAGTTCCTGGAAGACACTAAAAAGTCCTGCAACCTCTTTTGCTCCAGTCCTGGTCACGCTGACCAGGGTCACATCTCCAGGTGAGAGCGGTGCCTTGTCCCCGGGTCCCATCCTGCACCAAAGGCTTTGGGGCTGCTCTTCCAGGACCGGCTGAGATTTCCTCACCTGCCTTTGGTGAGACCAGGGTGTGATATGGGGCTGGCAGGTCCCCAGGAGGAGGGAGGGGAACAAAGGTGGGTTGAAAACCCCGCTTCACGCCCCAATCTGCAACCGGTGCTGTGAGGTAAAGCCCTTTCCTGCCCCGTGCCTCAGTTTCCCCTCTCATTAAAATCTGGAAAGATGTGGGAAATCACACCCAGCGCAGTGGAAACGCTTTTCTCCCCCCTCTCCTGCCCCGTTCACCTACGGCTTTTGAAGGATGCTCCCCTTTTCCTTCCAGCATCTACTGCACCAAGTGCAAGAAGGCGCTGTGCTGCTCGTGCGCGCTGCTGGACAGCCAGCACGCCCCGTTCTGCGACATCCGCAGCGAGACGCGGCGCAGGCAGGAGGAGCTGGGCACCATCAGCCGGCGGCTGAAGGAGAAGCGAAGCCTCTTCGAGGCCACCTACGCGGCGCTGCAGGATGAGGCCGCCCGGCTGGAGCGGGCGCAGCGGGAGATGCGGGAGCTGAT